AATTTTGTGATTAATAACAATTTAACAATTCTTGAATCTTGATGCCTGGACATGATGTTTACCTATTCAATCCATAGGTTGGAAGTTTGCTCCAAGCCCCCAACAAAAAAAAAATGTTAAAGGTCCACAACATATATAATTACAATACTTCGTACAATTATTATTATGGTACATTTGATTATTTGTATTTTAATTTGAACAAAATTTGAGACATTATTGATATTTTCTTCTCAAAATTGACCCAACAAAAATATTGATACTTTTGCACCTTGACTATATAATTGTTGTTGCTTGGTATTTTCTTTGGATTCCCTACATTTCTTTAATCCTTATGATTAATTGCAGATTATTAAAAATTATGAAAAAAATTAATACGTATTATAAATTAAATTAAGCCCTCTTGTTTCTTGACTTTGAAAATGGGACAACAAATCTGACGAAGACTTGTGCTAATTTTGGTATGATTCACAGAAACAATACCTCACGTGCAAAATGATTAATTTTTTCAGCCAATAAAAATGGGTCGGATAATCTGATTATTTCTTACAACCAATTAAATAATTATGGAATAATTGTTTGAAGAAGTAGTTTATCTCTTTATTGCAATTATTATTATTTTTGTTTGGTTCTAATTTTTTTGGCTTTGTAATTCCAAATTATCACGGCATTTGGTTTATGTCACTCTCACCAGTCACACCATTGATACATACACCTTGTAATTATATAGTACAATAGAAAATTCTCACTACAAAAATACAATGAATAATAAGAAGATTTGACATGCCTAAACTTTACTCTTGTAGGCTAAAAATTGAGTTGGATGATTATGTAGTGATGTAGCAATGTCCTATAATCTAAGACACTAAAGCAAATTTATATGAATAAGGTTTATGAAATTACTGGAGTTTGTAGTTTCATAGGTAAATTAATTAGTGATGAAATGTACCTAAGCAATGCAAAGCAATAATATGTTAAGCTTGGTATTAAAATTTATGAACAAATAGAGATGGAGGATTATGACCGTATATATTTGGTTAGTTGTATCCCAATTTTTTATACATGAACTTGATATATGTTTGGATCAAATTAAATCGACCAACTCGATTTTAACTCAACAAAACACATTATTGTTGTATATAAAGTGATGAATTGATAATGTCAAAACCTTCGTGCAAATTAAAAAATACTTTCTCCGTTCTATTAATATTGCAATAATGGACTTTTTGCACTATTTATCACTCTTGTTTGACCATATAATATGAGTTATACGTTAAGCAAAATATAGTCAAGTGGAATCTTGTTGGATTCGTCTCATAAAATACTTTCACAATATCAACTTTTTATAATTTTTATTCCTACACAATTTTAGAAATTTAGCATATAAAAGGTGTTTTAGGATGCGTAATTTCCTCCTTGTTACAATATTAACAGAACGGAGGAAGTAATTTTTTACTATTTGTATTATTGTTAGGTTTAACTTTCAGTTGGATCCTTTACGTCATTTGTAGGTCAAAATTGAACATAAATAATGACTATATTATGACAATTATATTACAACATATGTATACTAGGTAGGTAAATCTTGTCGTGTCTTGGTTATATATATATATATATATATATATATATATATATATATATATATATATATTCTTTTTTTAAAAAAAAAGAAAATCCCTTAAAAGGGGCCGGGAGTAAATCACCCGGGTCAACCCAAGTCTAACACTATGGGTTAAAAAAACAAATACTCGAAGCAGGTACCTTACTTTTTAATGTGTCATATATAATTACATACTATGACATGTTTTTTTAATCCTTCTAATCATGTCAATCCTTACTTCGAACCAATTAACACAAAATCAATTTCAAAATTAACCTTTTGATGGACGTGTTTAACTAACACACCTCAAAAGTTGGCAAGCCTAGATTAGAGTGAGCCATGCATAGAAAAATAGTGTCATGTGTTATGTTGAGTCAAAATACACAAACATGAAATCCATGGCACCATAGCTGCAGCATGCATGTCCATCAAACCATATTAGTTTTATTCGATTTCATGCCTGATTGTGTGCATTGTGCATGTCACACACTCACACAATTGACACAAGTCACACAATCCACCTCTCATATATTGTGTTATACATACTCATCTTAAGTAATTTCGTGTCATGTTATATCTGCTTAATTCTACCTCATTACGCTCGTTCACCTCATAAGTCCTCATTCTTTACAAGCACCAACTCAACTCGAAATTTCCACAATTCTCTCCTTAATATAATGTCAATATCATATACAAGTTGTCAACTCTCATTTTTATAAGATAAAACAATATTACCAAATACCAATTCATTTTCCTCACATTAGTCATCATCCTCTTCAAAATAACTCAACCTACCTTCACCAACCAATCATATCCCCACATCAAACCCAAAAAAAATTCCAAATCCAAATCAAAACCGATTTACCATTAGAGATCTAAATTCAAATAACCTGGTCGAGTTCAAATGAGCCGGATCAAATCAAACCAAATTTAAATTTAAGTCATATCAAAGCATTACCCATTCACAAGTCGAGATTAAACCGAATTACTTTTAACCACAACAGTCAAGTCAACCTTCCGCGTGTTAGCGCGTCACCCCAAAATCCGTTACAACCTCCTCCTCGTCTTCTCTTCCATTCCACTTCACCTTCTTCGAAACCGTCATTTTCTCTCTCCTCCTCCTCTACAAATACCCTCTTCTTCCTCCCCCATTTTCTCTCTCCTAAACACCGCCATTAACAACCCCAATTTTCTCTCTCCTCAAAACCTCCATTAACACACAAGATAAAACCACCATGAAGTGCTCAAACAGCCTCGTCGGACTCCTGAACTTCGTGACCTTCCTCCTCTCCATCCCCATCCTCGGCGGCGGCATCTGGCTCGCTCACAAAGCTACAACCGACTGCGAAAAATACCTCGAAAAACCCGTTATCGCACTCGGCGTCTTCCTCCTCGTCGTCTCTCTCGCTGGATTCATCGGCGCTTGTTGTCGCGTTAATTGGCTTCTCTGGGTTTACCTTGTTGTCATGTTTATTCTCATCGTTATTCTGTTTTGTTTCACCATTTTTGCGTTTGTTGTTACCAACAAAGGTGCTGGTGAAGTTGTTAGTAATCGTGGGTATAAGGAGTATAAGCTTGGTGATTACTCCAATTGGTTGCAGAAAAGGGTTGATAATTCTAAGAACTGGAATCGAATTAGGAGTTGTTTGATTGATGGTAAAGTTTGTCAGAAACTTGCTCAAGAACGTAATACTGGTGCTACTGAATTCTTTGCCAAACATTTGTCTCCTATTGAGGTATAATTTTTGTTTCTTTTTTTGAATTTTTTGATCTTAGTTTGTGAATTTTGCTGTATTTTGATCTGCTTATTTTCAGGGTTTTTCTTGGTTTTTGTTTTTACTTCATGGATTTTCTGGGTTTGTGTAGTTGTTGTGTTTGTTTTGAATTTTTGATATGTTTATGTTCTAGTAATTTTCTGGGTTCTTGATTAGAATTATAGATAGTAATTATTTAGTTATGATTCTTGTTCAAGAAGTGGGTTTATGATAATTAACTCATATTCTTTTGGGTCTGAAATTTGATTGAATTTGTTCTATAATTTTTGGGTGAATTTAGGATTAACTTTAGGCAATTATGAGAACATGATGATTCAATTTTTGAACTGAATTGAGAAGTTTTGTCTTGTGGAATATGTGCTGTAGTATGCTTTTGCATGAGTTTCTGTATATTCTTTTTGCAGATCTTCTGAAAAGTTGAGAACCTTTTTACAGAATTTTCTACCACTTTCATACTCTATACCTTTATATTTAAGTTTCTCTTTTTTGTTCCTTTTAATCTAAAATTCAGAAATTGGTAGGAAAATGTTAAAAAGTTTCAATTATTAATTGTTTACACTAATTTGATCTTTGGTTAGACTTTGGTTTATTTTATGAGTGTTTAGTCAGATTTATTAGATTAATTTGAAGTTGTCTTTGATTTTTCTGTCAATTATTTGATTAATTAAGTATAGCCTTTTTGTTTGTTATCATGAAATGGTCTTTTGCTTTGTAGGACTTTTTCTCTTTGTTGGATATAAAATTGAAAATTCTTTTTGTATTTCTTGGTCATTCCTATTTGAATCATTAGTTTTACAACTCTTGATAAGGTTAGATGTTTTTGTGTCACATCAATTGCAATTTGCAAGTGTTTAGATATTTACTCTTTAGGTACTGTCTATTTTAAGTTTTGTCTAGTTTGATGTCATTTTTATTTTATAACAATCTGAGCCAAACCGAGCTGAGCCTAGCCCTAAATTGGATTTAGTTTGTATTGCTTGAGATTTCGCCGTCATACAAAATCAACTGATATTGAGTTTGAGATTACTAATTACTTTGCTTTTTTTTTTTTTTTTTTTTTTTTTTTTTTTTTTTTTTTTTTCACATTCTACTATGCCTCTTTGCATTTTGTTAAGTACTTAAGTAAATGATTCATTTTTATCAGGGTGTCTGAGATCTACTCTGTATAATAATCAAATTGTTTATAAGATATTCTTGCTTTGTACTGAACATCTATCAATTGCATTATGCAGTCTGGTTGCTGTAAGCCCCCAGAAGACTGCCAATTTGCATATGAAAGCCCAACCAGCTGGACTAAGAATGGCAATGTCACTTCAAACAATCCCGACTGTGGTGCCTGGAACAACGACCCATCCACTCTCTGCTATGACTGCACTTCATGCAAAGCCGGGTTTCTGCAGAACCTCAAGAGTGACTGGAAAAGGGTTGCTGTTATCAATATCGTATTTCTTGTCTTCCTCATCATCGTTTATTCTATCGGTTGCTGTGCTTTCCGCAACAACAGGTGGGACAGTGCTGATCCATGGAAGCCATATCGCTGATTGTGATGATCTTTAGATGATCAGTTCTTAGTCAGTACTATTACTTAGAATGTTATCTGTACAGATGTTAGATCTGTTTTGATACTATCTGGTTCAAATTTTTTTTTTTTTAATCTCTGCATAGCTTGTGTTTGTCTATTATTTTCATACACTAGTAGTAGTGTATATGGACATACGGTTTATATGTTAGTCATGTTGCTGTGTATATTGATCACTTTGTTCTATACTATGACAGAGCTTCTCATTTGGCGTGTTCATAGCTCATTGTTTATACTCTATTTGATTTATCTCGTTCTTGATAACTGCTGATACTGTTTCGAAAGTTTTACCTGTATAACTGTATTGTGTCCAAAGAAGTGGCGAGAACCACTTAACTTTGCTACATTGATAGAGTTATGAGCTACTGTTTCGAAAGTTTAACCTGTAACTGTATTGTGAACTAAGAAGTGGCGAGTAACCACTTAACTTTGCTACATTGATAAGAGTTATGAGCCGGACCTGTAGCATGAAAGCACAAGTGTGTTTTAAGCACAGCATGCCTGAATGCTATATGTTCAAAAATTATACTGTAACAAAGATATCCGAACTTAGCAAAATTAATTGACTAATAATACACTACCAAAATGCATCCATTACACATACATTCTATGGAGATATGTACTAATGAACACCACCTAGCTATTACAATTTTGATCACAAAATTGAATGTGATTTTACAACTCTACAATCAACTAACATAAACCTTGTCAGTAGTAGTATTATTATCAGCTGTCAAAAGTGGTTGCTCCAAATCAATTTTACCACCTATCTTTTCTTGGGCTATTATAGTTGGACATTTTTCTGATGTAAGAACCAGATTTTCCCTTAGCTCTTCAGATTTGCCCCACAACACGACGTATAAGCCAATGATCACAGCAATAGCACCTAGTAAACTGAGAGGAAATCAAGTTAAAACTCTGTTAATTGCATTACAGCCTTACAGATTTACAGCTACCAAAAACAGAACAAACTATCAACAATATTGACATCAATTGTAAAAACTGATCTTTTGTTCATGTAGTTACCTGCCAAGGTAGATTTCTTCGTGGAGAAAAATACAGGCTAGAACTGTAGTTATGACAGTGGCTAGAGGAGTAAACATAGCAGAGTAAAATGGACCTCTACGCGAGATACACCAGGATTGAATGAAGAATTGTACCCCTGATCCCATAACACCCTACAGATTAAACCATCCATGCCACATTTGTCAGTAGATAATCTTGTATACAGACAGTGTATTGCTACAGATTTAAGGCTAATACTATAAAATCGGTCTAGATTGTAGTCTTATATACATACCGAGAAAATGCAACAAGTGAGTTCAAGTCCTGAACTTAAATTCCAAGAAACAGGATCAGGCTCTAAGAACAAGGCAACGGCACCAGTTTGCAGCATTGATAGGAAACACATCCATGCTGAAAGAGATATGTGATCAGGGTAACGCGCATTAACAGGCACCTGATTTTACAAATAGACGAATATAAGTAGTGGCAATAATGGAAAACAAATCATTATAACCACATAAAAGTTGAAATGTACCTGCAAAATGAGCCAAAAGGACCAGCAACAACTACTAGCAAGGAGACATAGAACGCCCAACAACCAGGCATTGTCAACCGCATACAAATGCAGCAATGCAGAATTGAGTGGTGGAAGTTGAGTATTAAGTAGCTTAGGACCTCTCAACAACGCCATAGAAATTGCTCCTGCCACGCAGAAGGTCGTTCCTAGTATCTTTGCTGCACTGCTTAGTGTCCTTAAGTTCACTTGCTCCAACCTATTATTTCAAGCAAAGTTTGTGGAAAGATTTTATTTCTCATTTGAACTTTAACACTTTTATACTACAGAATTAGTCTCACAATTTCATAAATATTACACTGATCACTACACCTTTATGTGAGATGAGATGTTTGAAATTCGGGATGACTGAACATGTTGTATACACTTACTTTTAGATTGTGGATGCTATGAGTAGATCACAAGTTGGACTATTAGCCAAAATCATGAAACACCTCAATATTTGAACTTTGTTAAAGAAAGGATTATCATATTAGTCTAATTTACCACAAAAAAAATAATGATTGTAACTCATCTCATAGATTTTCCTAAGCGCACCATTAGTAAGTTTAGATAAGTAAAATTCAGCTGAATAGAATACACCCTTGAATATCTCTCTTACTGTGCAGTCATAAAGGTGACAGCAGGGATCAAGTTGTATGTTGCACTTGCAATTGATGAGGAAGCCAAATATAATCCTTCAAAGTACATGTTCTGATTCAGAGTAACCCTGTTTTTACATTAATATCAAATTAGTATTTGGAAACAAAATCAAAAAGATTTAATAACACTTAATATTTGATTTGGTCAATCATTAAGATGTTAATTAAATATCATATGTACTCAGTATTAAGACAACATACCCAATAAAAGCTGTGATGAACACCAAAAGAAAGCTCTTAAAACCCATACTTGGCATAGTACTGGCGGCGAGTCTCCTCATTGGTTTATAGATTTGTTTCTATCAGATGATGACTAGGATTTCTGTCATTAGTTGCTTCTCTTATATTTTTCATCTACTATATATAGTCATGAGCTCATGATCTAACTACGAAGGTGTGTTATAAGTTTTCATCCTAAATTGATAAACCAAGATTATCATACTCCTTAATTACTCGTTATTCCGTAACCCGTAGGTATGCCATATGAGGTAAAAGTTTCTAAATTGTCGCATGAAAGAAGCTCGTTCAAGTTTGATTTTGTCCTTTTATTTTTCGCTTAGTTAGATTTCATATCTTCAAGTAAGATAGTTTTAAGAAAAATAGAAAAGTTTAATTTAATAAGACTTATTCTAGTTCAAATTACATCTAAATTAAGCTTTTATAAATTATGATAAGTTTTGGTAAGTTCAGATAAGTTTTATAAGATCAGATATAATATTTTACTGTAATCGAGATATTACTATGAGTATTGAACAAATATTGATGAATGTATTATGGATAATTATTTTCTTTCAATTCTCTTAGTTTAAAATTTCAATTATGTAAGCCTTAAAACTCAACAATATACTTGTATACTAGTAACTTATATTTAGCTTTAATTTTGTTAAAGCTTAATGCATTTAGACTAGGACAATAAGTTATTATTACAAATTATTATCATGTGCAATTTTGTAATTTTAAATAATTTACCCTCATTAGTACTACGTAAAAACAAAATATAAAAAAACAAAAAGAAACGGGTCAAGATTGCATCATTTCACAATTGACACAAGTGAAATTTTCCCCCTACTATACCTTCCTTAATTGACTAAGCTACCTTGTCCTTGCTACCACTTGCCAGCTTGCCTTCCACCAAAATATGACTAAGCTGATTTCCTTCCACCTAAAAATGACTTAAGATTGTTAGGAATTACTTTCCATTTTGGTTAATATAGCCATTGTTTCTATTTACAGAAATTATAATGTAAGACAATCCAGCCAAATAAGCTCACATGCAAACTTGATTGCAAAGATCAATTTGATATGTGTTCAATTGCATGTACAAATCATACCTTTAAAGAACAACTCATAATGGCTGTTGGTGGGGACTATAGATAATAGTGGTGGGACCTAAAAGTATTTCCAAATCCTTCTAATTTACCGATTTATTTCCTCCGTCTCCTTTTGTTTGCCCATTAATTTGATTCTTAAGTAACTGTAATAAGATATAATTACTACACTCTTTTACTTATTTTTGGTGAAGTTTCCAGTAACAAGTTGTATAATTTAACATTGGAAAGACCAAACAATCTAAAAGGGCAAGTGAAGATGTTAGTAATGGATACGACTATACGAATATTTAACTACGGGTACAAACTATGATGCTCATTAAATCAGGGTCGTCCTAACCTTTTTGGAGGTCCTGTGCAAAAATGGAGTATAAAATTTGGCTTATGAATTTTCTCTAGTCACGGCTTATTTTTTAATACAACAAACAAAAATAATTAAAATACATTTTGTAAAAAAAAAATGACTTTAGTGAGAATTGAACCACAGACCCCTTGCCAGTATAGATGTCGGAGCTCATGAAATCACTAAGCCACAACTAATATGCATTAATAATTCTACAGCATATATTACTTATACATTTTTAATGATCTGAGGTCCTGAGCGGCCACTCACACTGTACACCCTAATGGCCGGCCTTGGCTTCTAGCATTGTGTTTAGGCCGACCGTGCGTAGCTAGGATAACCAACTCAATACCTCATGTCCACATGTACATGGCATGGCTCAGCCCGAAACAATCTCAATAGGTTAACTCTTGAGTCTGTACGACCGACTCTGATAGAGGACAAGTCTGTTAGGAGTGCCAAATATTTCTTAGGTTTTCCTAAATTCTTTTGCAAATAAGCTAGACTAGAGTGACCTATGAACTTATGAAGAACATCACGTTAACTTGATAGTTGATACTCATATATGGCCACATGGGTGTTATATTAAGCTGAGACTCATTTGAATTGGGCTTAGAGGCTACTGAGATCCATAGGCAAGTGTTTTGCAAGGCCCATATAAGGTGGGCTGCTTGATATGGGCTGGGTTAATACTAAGAGGCTGCGCAAACATGTTTTGTTACATTATGAGGTTATGCCACATCTGCCCTCAAGATTCAAGGTCTCAAAGATGCATGGTGTGTCACGTGTGTGCATGAACGGTTTAACAACATCATATCCGTGCATGAATACACAAACTTTTTGCACCATCGTCCGATCGTCCATGCATAAGGATATTCGGTCTAGGGTTGGCAATCCCTGACCCGACCCGATAACACGAACGAACCCGACCCGAAGTTATTGAGAGAAACTCGAACCCGATCCGAACTCGAATAACCCGAATTCAACCCGATTAGACCAAAATTTCATATTTCGTAATATTATTAAGTTTTACACTATTTTTTATTGTTTCTAAGCATAACCCAAAATCGACCTGAAATCTGACCCGAATCCGACCCACTGACACGAATTGCCACCCCACCCCTAACTCGGTCAATGTTATAGGCAGAGGCGAATCTATGATACTAAGTCTGAGCACTTAGTGAATACTCCTTTCGTTCCTATTTTTTTTTGCCATATTAGACTTTATATGGACTTTAAGACGCATCTTGCAACGTACATAACTTTATTTCTATATGCGTATTATTAAAACTTGATAGTAATAAGATATATAAATAAGACGAATCCAATAATACCCCACACGACTATATTATCTTTTTTATTAATTAATGAGAATTTATGGTTAAGGTTTTTAAAGTTTTGACCCAATAGGACAAAAAAAATAGGAACAAAGAGAGTAATTATGTAGGCATAATCTTTTATATTATCAATATAATTGAGTTTTAAACCAAAAAAAGAAAACTAAAATATGTTTGGTGGGGCTCGCGCCACCTAGTCACCCACCTAGGTCCGCAATTATATCGGTCATAGGGTTACTATGGGCTTGTTCATATTTACTGAATTGAACTGAACTGAGCTGAAATGAATTTTTTATGAGAGAAGAAATTAAAAGTTGAACATTAATGAACTAAACTGAAATTATTATTGGAGATGAACTGAACATACTGAGCTAAAATTAAGCTGAAGTGAACACGTCCATCACATTTATAGGGGTTATATACTTAGTAATATAGGGGTTAATTACTAGTGTTGTAAATTAAAGGTGACTTGGTTTGCATAATAGGGTTACTCTTTTTGTACAAGTGTTGGCATAAATAATTTGATTTTTTTTTAATACAAAAAAAAACTTAATTATGTAAGGTTTGTGACTTTTTTTAATTGAGTTTTTTTTATTGATGTTATTTTTTTAGAGTACTAAGGAGAAATGTATACTTTGAATTAATCATTTTACAAATTGGTCTAAATTTGGCAAAATTGCTAAAGAAGTTATTTTTTTTTTTTTTTTTTGGCTGTTATGCTATTATTATGCAACTTGCGGAGTATTATTTAGGGATATAACGAGTATAAACTTCGTGTTTCATATGAATACAAAATGGAAGATAATGCTCAAACATCTTACAAGTATTAATTAATAACATATCATCTACCAAATTATTTATATTATTAATCTCATCTAGCTGAGAAATAAAAATAATAACCCAATACAATGGCATGTATCAACAACATATTAATCAACAAAATTGACACTACTCGATGGCATCTAATTAGTAATGTGCTCTGCTATATTACATACATGATACATGTAAGATGTAACATCTGTCCAAATAGAGTTTGGACAAAAAAATGGACTATAAGTACATTTTAAAGAAATAAAGAATAATATAATAAATACTTGGTTTAAGTTACAGCTAAATCTAATTAAACTTGTTCAGTACAATTATCTGTCAATAATAATGGCTGTTCCAGATCATCAACAATCTTAAAGCTTGGTGCTTTTGGTGGATCACTTTCAAAATCTTCATATTCTATATTTTCTCTCTTTTCCTTTGCTTTACCCCATAGCACAATGTACAAGCCAATGATCACCCCAACACCACCTAATAAACTGAAAAAAATAACCAACAAAACAATTCACTTTGTTAGGATTAACGGGAATTTATGACAAAATCACGTATAATTTACATCATTCAGTATGTTAATGTTACCATAGTTTTACACATATAGTCGTCGTTATGTTAGGGTTAAATTTACCATTTCTCAATTTATATATACGTGTTTGAAAACTAATTAAAAAGTTTCTTATACTCCGTAATATATAAGAAACGGACGATGATATTAAGTATGTCGTAGTACCTGCCAACGTAGAGTTCTTCGTGGAGAACAATGCATGCCAAGACAGTTGTGATGACGGTGCATAGAGGGTTAAACATGGCTGAGTAGAGAGGACCTCTCTTCGAGATACACCAGGCTTGTGCAAAGAATTGAACTCCGGATCCAAATATTCCCTAATAAAACAGATAAAAGAATATGACCTTCAAGATTAGGTTTATTATTATTATTTTATGTATATATGCATTCTCAATTCAAAATTCAAATACAGAATACTCCGTAAAAGATACATAGTACTCCATCTATATATATGTAGGTATAAGTTTTGATTATTCATACTAACGTTTTTTTTTTTAAAATATATTGTATGTACAAAGACCCTATAATATGTTAATTATACATACCGAAAAGAAGCAACAAGTGAGTTCAAGATTTGAGGTCATATTCCAATCTTCTGGATCGTGGTCTAAGAACAAGGCGATTGCCCCGGATTGTAACATAGAGAAGAAACACATCCAAGCAGACAGAGATAAGGGGTTAGGGTAACACGCAGTCAATGGTACCTGTTTATGAAACATATACAATTAATAAATAAACCTTAATTATGATATATGTATGGTTATTTATGGAACATGTCAAAATAGTATACTTGTGTACGTACGTGACTTTTATTTTTGATCTATAATATAAAGTAAAAGTATTATTTAAGGACGAAGAGAGTCCTACCTGCAAAATGAGCCAGAATGACCAGCAACACATACTAGCAAAGATAAAGAGACAACCAATCAACCAAGTGTCATCACCTCCAAAAGAGTTGAGCAAAAGAGAGTTGGTTGATGGTGGGAGTTTGACGTTGTTTAGTAATTTAGAGCCTCTGAGAAAAGCCATGCAGGCTGCTCCAACTACGCAAAAGATTGTCCCTAACATCTTTGCCATGCTGCTTAACTTCTTCATATGCACTTGTTCTAGCCTACATTATTTCATGCATTATAGTAATAACAGTTAGTTTAATTATTTTCTCAAAAAATAATGAATTTTATGAAGTAAAATTAATTCCAAATGATGACAAAAATGTATACATATGTGACACTGTGGTTGATGTTAGATCGTCATTTTACCAGTATTTATTCTGTTCACCTTATTTTCACTTATTTTATATCCAATAAGTTTAGTGAAGTTCAATTAAGTTATCATCATAAGATTATTTAAGTTCTGATAAGTGATAATCAGGTGAATATATAGAATACGCTCTAATGGTTTCACATTTCATATTCTTCTGTAAAAGTTGTACTATCCTATAATTTTAGCTTCTTATTAGCATACTATTGTTTTGTAATGTAACTTATGAGATTTAATTATTAATTATATAAGAACTGCCACTTTTTTATTAGTGTACAATTGTGATTATATATGACTTTTTTTCTTTCTGAAACAAGCATGTTTATCTATCTCTATCTGTTCGTTTGAGCGTGTTTCCTCTCATATATTATATGCAAAAGTAAGTTTTAACAAATAGATCAAATAGTTATACGAGTATGTGTGTAAGTTATACGGTATATTATGACAGTATATTGATTATGTTTAATTAAAATGAATGTGTTGATTTGATGAAATCCTACTATTATGTCCCTCAATTCAATTCCAAATAATTTTTATGTTTTTATTGATTTTCACAATTGTATGATCTTATATAGTATCCCTTAAATAGTCATCATGTTTTTTTTTTTTTTTTTTTTTTTTTTTTTTTTTTTTTTTTGAGGGTATGGTGACATCTGCTTTTAAATTGAAATGTTTCCAACTTTCTTGGAAAGGCTTATTCTAGGATCACAATTATTTTTTAAGAAAATTCTTTTAATTTCTATGTATTTAGTTGCGACAGATTCTTTAATAGTTGAGTAATTTAATTATTGTGACAGGTCTTACAAGTTGGAATTTTGTGATGAAATAATAGATTGGTCATTCATATATATGTAACTTAATTTTTTTTTTTTTTTTTTTTTTAAACCTATATGTAACTTAATTAGTTACCCCATAATAGCTGCTATCAAGAATGTAACGGCAGGGACCAAATTAGACATGGCGCTTGCTATTGATGATGAAGCCAAAAATAATCCTTGGAAGTACATTGTTTGATTCAACACCACTCTGAAAAAAATAATATAATAAGCGCCCAATAATTATTAGACCGAAAATGAAAAAAATTGACAATTATATGTGTACTCTCTCCGCCCGAATTTAACATTATTTGTCATTTAATATAAGTTACAATATAGACATGACAAATAATGTTTGTAGATGGAGTAGCTTATAATTTTCGAGCTTGTTCATTTATTTATTGAACACAACAAAATAAAAACAAGAAATTGACATACCCAACGAAAGCAGTGACAAAGATTAGAAGAAAGGTCCTAAATCCCATCCAAGAACCACTTGATGATTTTCCCCTGCAAATTAAACAATAATACAACAAGAGTTTTCTTAAACTTCAATATAAAAACAATACTCCACTTTTTAAAGTTAAAAATAGAAGTCAAGAGCTATGTACAGTTTACGTGGCTGAAATATTTTTTTACACGTTTATCAAAATTGATTGAAACATATACTTCGTAAAAAGTATTCCAGCCACCATCTTTTTCAACTTTTAACTTCACAGACGAATAGAAGCTGAATTAAACCAAAATCCAACGTATGCCTAGTAGCACGACCATTTTTAACACAACAAAAACAATTTGACCATGAAGCACAGAAGAATTGAGAACGAAATTGATGTTAGTGCTTACCTTGCAAAGAAAGCAACAGGACACATGAAGAAAGTGGCAATAGCTTGCCTATAAAACATAAAGACTCTAGGATTCATGCCCTTAACAAGGGCAGCCCTACTTAAAAGTGCCATAATTGCAAATATACATTGCAATAACACCATTACTATCGCTGGTAATTGATCTTCCATCTTTCCCATCTTTGTTATGTCTTCTCTAATTAATTTAATTTTCTCGTTCACTTTGTATGTATATTATTATTTACAATAATATGTGAGGAGCTAGTGAGTTATAAATATTGTTTAAGACCGTTTTTATACTGAGATTATAAAGCTTATTATGATATATAGTACGTACAACTAACTAAAGTAATAATAAAATAGAATCAAGGAAATTATTTGAAAAGACAAAAGATGTTGTGTTATGTTGTTTTAAATTATATTAATATGCATGATTCTAGAGTGATTTAGCCTTTATAATCATTTATAAATCGGTGGATCTTACAATTTGGCAATTATAATGAGTCAAAAAGCCCTAAATTTTTTATTTAAAAAAGGAGTAGAACTCTTATGAAGGTTGTTAAAGGAAGGTAGAAATATTATAATTAGTGAATGTATGTGTTGGCTGCCATAAGGTGCACAGTCATTAGTGACTAAGCTAGCCAACAACTGAATTTGTACAAGAATTTTACAATTTCATGTGATGTATGGGGGCGCTGAACTAGGAAACCATCACGATATTTCTGGTAAAGTTATACTCTCTGTCTCAATTTTATAAGTACGTTCAGTATGTGCATTTTATACGTCGGGTTTAGTCAAAACAGTGGCTTTTATATATATGTGTTTTGGAAATTTGGAGTAACTATATACATTTGTTGTTTTATATTGAGGAATTAATTTGCAACCACATTCAATTATGATTAGCTTGATTGTTTCGTTTGTATCGTTTCCAGGGGCGGAATTAGGGGGTGGCTAGGGTAGGCCATGGCCACCCCCTTGATAATGTTTAAAATTTAATTTTGTAAATGTTGTCAAAGAAATATTCACAGCTAAGTTGGCTTAATATGAGATTTTTAAGGGATTTATAACGTGAGATTATGAGTTCGACTCTTGCTACTCTATTTTTTTTTATTTTTTTTTATCATTTTGAGATACATATTTTTATGTTTATAAGCATATTTGATCTTGGCCACCCTAATGTAGAATTTCTGGTTCCGCCGCTGATCGTTTCACTTAGCTTCTAGAAAGCTTAGCTTATAAAAGGTGGATATTTGGTAATTGCTACTTTGTACTCCCTTCATCTTAAAATGTTTTGCTCTTAAGTACATTTTAAATAATGAAGTAGAATACTTGTATTTGATTGAGTGAAATAGATGAATAGGTATATAGTAACTAGTAAGACCGTATATTATTAATAATATATATGTAGCTAGCTATTGAAAAAAATTGAAGCATTCTCTTAGAAATTTCCAAATAAAAAAATTGAGCATATATATATATACTATTTGTGGTAAGAAGCCCTAAGATCAGAAGAGATCGAGTCCATATATGTGATAGATATATATATAATTACACATAACATAGCTAAATATAATTAAAGGAGAACCAAAAAAATTATGCATCAATAATCTTTACTAAAATTATAATTTGTATTGTTCCTTGTAAATAGATATGTATGATGAAAAATAAAATACAGAGTTTTGTAAGATAAATCTTCTCATCATGTATTTAAAAAAAATAATAAAAGAAAGTAACAATAATACAAGTATAAAGCATTATATAGATAAGTATCGATCACTTTTGTGATTCAATATGCACCTAGACCTTCCATAAAATTAGTACTTAGCTGGTATATTATTAGTATTTTGTACTAGTACATAGACACATAGTACATAATCTAGGAAAAATTAATGAAAGAACAAAAGAGCTTTAATTTAAATTATGGGGATAATTAACTTTATTTTTCTTGGATTCCTTATTCCTGGCATTAAGTAGTGGAATCATTGTAATAACAATTATATGAAGCAATTGCCGGGAAATCTAACTTCAACTTATGTTCTTAGTGGTCCGTGGCATCAGGCCAGGATGATTTCCGATCAGGTTCGCCGGCCCGATGATTGATGAATCATTCATTGCGGTCTCAGCTCCTACGTACAATATTATATTTTAGGTTAGAACTGGGTAATTATTGTACTAATGTTCGTTGTTTCTTGTATGATTCAAGCTTCGGATGAATGGATAATTTTGTACTAGTTATATTCAACTATTCAAGTTAATGATACTTAATTACTTACTAAGAAATTGATGATTGTTGTTAAGCTAAGAATCAGCTAAGAAGATACCGTACATTTGTTCTTATGACTTACAAGTATAATTTGTACTGTTGTATACTGGCAATAACCTGAAGCGTGACGGGCATTAAGAGGTGTGCACCTACTCCCCTCGGCCCCTCTTATATACTGCCATGTGGTCTAATGGCATACCCGAGTATTCCGACCTATAAAGTATTTGGAAGTTGGCCTAGTAATGGTAATGGTAATAAACTAATAATATATGGGTAATGCTATACATAGCCCTTAGGGTTATATATAAGCATTAAAAACACTCTTGGAAATTGTATGAAATTAGGAATTCATAACAAAAACACGCGTATATCAGTGTAATTAGTGTGAATTTGTCATGATTTTTTAAATTTAAACAGTTTTTAAGAGTATTTTTAATGCTTATATGTATCCCTAAGGGATATGTATAACATTTTCCATAATATATTTCATAAGTAAATTACATATCTATGCAGCAAAACAATTAAGAAAGAAGCGGCAAAACAACACAATTGAAGAAGAAGAAAAACAGTAAGGGGTCGTTTGGTTCGTACATGGTAAACGGAATGGAATGAACAAAGGGATTCAAAGAGAATGGAATGAAACTCATTCCATATAGCATGTTGTTTGTTTTACAAAAATCAAAGGGAATCACCACCACCATAGCACCACCACCACACAACCCCCTTTTCCTTCACTTTCCCACTTCTCCAGCTATCCCACCGCCCAGCCACCACCTTTTCGGCATCCCCTAGAGGTCGTCGCACCTCCACCACTCCTCCCCTCCCCGGATTACCCCCACCCACTCAAAAACCCTAATTATCCATCACACAAAACCCTAATTATTGGCGGTGCGAACAAGGAGGAGCGAACAGGGGCGGTGCAAACAGGGGTAGGGGAGGTGCGAACAAGGGCGGTGCGACGAGGGAGGTACAACGAGGGGCGGTGCGGTTTTTGAGGGGAAGTGCGAACAGGGGCGGTGCAGTTTTTGAAGGGAAGTGCGAACAGGGGCGGTGCGATTTTTGAGGGGAAGTGCAAATAGGGCGGTGCGACAGGGGTGGTGCGATGCGAATAGGTGGTGTGACGAACGGGCACGGCAGTGCGGTGCGAACAGGCGGAGCGGTGCGACTAGGCGGTGCGTCAAGGGGCGGTAAGGTGGATAGGCGGTGGGGGTAGGGTAGAAGGGTGGTGGCTGATGTTGGCATGGTGGTGTAATGGTGGCTAGGGAATGGGAATGGAAAAGTCTAGGGGGTGGGGAATGAATGTAGAGGGATTTGGGGTGAACTCAAAAATAAAAATGGGTAAAAGGAATGATTGGATGTGACAAACAAACAGCAACAAAGGGAATGGAGTCTGTTCATTCCCTTTCCCTTTGATTATTAATTCCAACCAAACGGCCCCTAAGGGTTTCAATAATTGGAAGGAAACGGAATAGTCCTTAATTTGAGATTGGTAAATACCTAATACTATTTTCTATCATAATATATAGATGGATGAATTTAGCACAAAAGAAAGAAAAAAATTAATAAAAAGATGTTATCAATACATTTAGGTGGAATTTTTTTTTTTGTCAAAAATGACATGTGTACAATTTAGGAAGGGAATGATGTCAGCGGTTTCTAATTTAGTATTAGTTATAGATAGATTGAACTACGTACTTACCAAATGTACTGATATTTAGGCTTGCAAATTGCAATTAGGTCATTAGGTATATATGCCTAATAGATATTTTTATCCATTATAACCATTGATCTTGTAAATATAAATATAAATACGATACTATTCAGAAATAAAAGTCATATATATATATATATATATATATATATATATATATATATATATATATATATACACTTAGATAACTATTTAATAGCTAAAATTACAATGTAAACATGAAAATTTAATTTGAATAAATTGGAGTCACAAGAAATAAATATATAATGAGAAAAGTGCCATTAATCATTTGGAGGATTGAGTTCATTGTATTTTAAACTACTACTCGTATTATTGTACGAAGAAAGTAGGCCGTACATCATGTGTCCAAATATATACAACGTGAATTACAATGATTAAAAAGGATTTAAAACGAAATTTAGGTCAATCTATATTCTAATTTTGTTGTGTTAGAATGCAACACATGATTATACATGTGATGTCGATAAAAGCATTGTTGGAGCTGACTAGTTCCTGAGTCGGAGGATTGTTATAATTATCATTGCGCACTTAATCACATAATTAATGTCGTATTATAGTCTAGAATAATAATGGTATATCCTTTAACTTAATAACTTGCATTGGTTTTATATCATTTTGTTTGAAAAACCGCAGCTAGTTTAGGATTGATGATTGTTATTTTGTTTCTTGATAACGCTATTATATAGCGATGAGTACCATTATATGTATACAAAATATAGTAGTTGCCTTAATTTTAAAGGTCAGTCCAAATCACATACTTAGAGTTTTTTTTTTTGGTAATGTTATATGTAGCCCTAAGGGCTTTATATAAGCATTAAATACACTCTTGAAAATTGTATAAAATTAGGAATTCATGACAAAAACACGCGTAAATCAGTGTAATTAATGTTTATATTTTGATGATTTCTTAACTTTTTACGATTTTTAAGAGTAAATTTAATGCTTATATATAGCCCTAAGGGCTATGTATAACATTTTTTTTTGTGCATTTGTATTTAATGGATGTTGTTTCTGGTAAAAATAAAAACAATTACATAGGGAAAAAGAATTATCCAAAAACAAGTGAACGGATGGGATGTCCCCTAGGGTCGTAAAAGTTGGTTTAGAAAAAAAAAAAAAAGCCTTTTGTGGCTCTGTAAATTCTTGGGAATGAGTGTTGGGTTCAATTTTGTGGCGATTTAAACCATCGCGTTGGTTGTTCAGCCTTAAGGGATAAATTAAAATACAATTTTTTGTATGTGGCTGGTCACATGGTGCGGCAAGGGT